AGACTGTAAAGTCGCTTTTTTTATCATGATACATAGGCCTACTGTGATTTATTCCAAAGTGACTTATATGATGCATTTAACGTCAAATCATCTAAATGAAGCCTTTTAAAAGACGAGTATTCGCTGTGGTTCATGTTTGTGGCATGCAGCAGAAAGATGCTCAAGGAGACCGAGACACGCTAAAGCAGCGCATTCTGTTGTTCTCTTTATTTTTCAAAGGCATGACATTTTGTAGTTATTTTGAACGTAACGTTACACAATTAAAAATATACATTAAAATATATTTTGTACATATTGTATATATTGTAAAATCATTAAAATATGCTGATTTATTATCAGTGCTGGAAACTGTTTTGCTGCTTATTTTTATTTTTTTTTGGAACCTGTGATACTTTTTAGGGTTCACTGATAAATAAAAAGTTAAAAAACACAGCATTTATTCAAAATAGTGATGTTTTCTAACAATATAAATCTTAACTATCACTTTTCTATCAATTTAACAAATCCTTGCTGAATAAAAACTAACTTCTTTAAAAAAAAAAAATAAAAAAAAAATACTGACCTCAAGCTCATGAACGGTAGTGTATAACTGTATATTGTTACAAAAGTTTTATTTTAAATAAATGCTGTTCTTTTGTATCTTTTTATTCATCAAAGAATCCTAAAAAAAATATCACAGGTTTCCAACATGGATAATAAATCAGCATTGCATAAAATGTATTTGAAAGTATATTAAAATTTTGATCAAATAAATGCAGGCTTGATGACTAAAAGTGACTTCTTGCAAAAATATAAAATAGTAATGTATCTAAACTTCGACCTATATATGTGTTCCTGCAGCACAAAAGCAGTGTTAAGTCGCTGGGGTATATTTGTAGCAATAGCCAACAATACATTGTTTGGGTCAAAATGATCAATTTTTCTTTTATGCCAAAAATCATTAGGATATTAAGTAAAGATCATGTTCCAAGTTGTTAAGAACTTCATTTGAACAACTTTAAAGATGATTTTCTCAATATTTAGATTTTTTTGCACCCTCAGATTCCAGATTTTCAAATAGTTGTATCTCAGCCAAATATTGTCCTATCCTAACAAACCATACATCAGTGGAAAGCTTGTGTATTCAGCTTTCGAAAAATTGACCCTTATGACTGGTTTTGTGGTCCAGGGTCATATATATATATTTTTTACATTGCCCCTGTTTTACATCTGAGCCCCTGCCCCTGAGGAACTCTCTGCACATCTCTGGTCAGTGATTTCACAAAACCTGTCGGGAGTGAAGATCGTGCGGTGTGAAGCGTGCATGTAAGCGCTGCTCGCACCTGACGCTGCTCCTGGTGTCCAGCGAGGGCAGTATGATGGTGACCATGGCTTCGGTCTCTCGCGTGTGGTCCACCTCGGGCCGGCGGATGAGGATGGGAGGAGATGTCTTGGCGTGAATGCGGTGTCTGAGGCCGCCCATGTTCCCCTCAGGGCTGGTGATCTTGAAGTCGTAGCTGGTGTCCGGCTGCAGGTTTGGGATCACAGCCTTCCTCAGACGCGCGTCCACCTCCATCTTCTGCCGGTTGTACTCCACCTGAGAATGAAAGCAAAAATAACTGTCATAACAGATTTATTTAAACATGCATTAAATAATTAAGACATCACTAACAAGTAAAGTAAAATATAATGAGTATATAGCATTGATCTATACTAAAGATATATTATTAGATTATATAGATCAGTGGTATATAGTCTAATATTTTGCGAAATGCTCTTCTCTAGACTTAATTTCTCTAGCAAACTAACGAGCTGTTGACACTGATGATGACCTGCCTGAGGAAAATGAAATGCTGTTTTATTGACATCTTTCCACGGATGAAACACTGATTGAGCGATTACATCAAATGTTCATTCATGTTTATTTCACATTAAATCTAGTATCAAAGAGCGTCAAAAAGGCATTTATTGTTTGAATTTCTCAAAAAAGTTACATAATTTAAAAGACGAGACTTTGTTTCTTATTAAAAGTAACAATATATAATACTTGAACTTTCCAATGAAGTTCCAGTCGTGCATTGGTTAAAATGTATTTGTGTACACATGCGTACCGAACCCTATTAAAGATGCATCAGTATTTTTGTTATCTGTTCCACTTACTGATAAGACAATTTCAGAATGCATTGCAACAAACTTGAAATAAATATACTTATTTATGCTGATAATTAAAGCACACTCATTGAGCTGTTGCAATATTGAGATATATTATCTAAAAAACAGTTCCAGTGACATCAATGTTTGTTTGACTACAATCATAATCAATTGCAATATAATTGAAATGATTTGACGAGCGCCGTTGTCTTTCCTGTGTTGATGTGTTTCCTATTGAGAAAGTAAGAGGACGTCCTCATTCTAGAGAGATTTACTGGAACGCAACAACTGAACAAAGAGCCAGAGATTCTAATGCTGATGTGTTCACAGACGTGCAGTGATTGCTGCGAGACTCACAGTGAAGCGATAGGGGGCGCTGCTCTCCGGAAACTCCCACGTCAGCAACACGCTCGTCTTCGTCGCCAGATTCACCGAGAAATTCCTCGGCACGTCTATCCAAACACACACACACACGTAACACACGTGAGACTCGGTGATGCAGGAACTGGAACACACACACAGGACTGTGAGGAGGCAGACATCCGCCGTGTGCGCCGAGGCCTGTGCAGGGAATTGTGGGGGATGTAGAAGGTCAGTGTATGGATACGCAGGGACACATATGCGGAAGATCCAGTGAGAGCTGGCCCAGATTCGCTAGCTGCTAATGAAGGTTATTTTGAAGGAAGTCGGGGTGAGACACAAACTCAATCACACACAAACAAACACTCGCTTAATTTGTGCCACACCACAGACTGGACTGGGAAGTGTTGGGAAATGTAGTTGTGAAGGAACTCAAAAGGACGAGGGAAAAGACAAACGTCTCCAGCCTTACCGTGAACCCGAAGGCTTGTCCTGCCAGATGGACTGTGACTGACGCCTGAGCACTTACCTGCGACACCGCCTCCCGTCGACCGGCCGAGCATCACCTGCGGTCGCACACATACACACCTCCACTGTGACGGGTCGGGTGGGGTTAGTTGCGGGTGGTGTTGGTGTCGGTGGGATCTCGGGGTTTAGTTCTGTGTGGCTCACCCAGGCGAGCAGTGTTGGGGAGAGTTACTTTTAAAAGTAATGCATTACAATATTGCGTTACTCCCTAAAAAAGTAACTAATTATGTTACTTAGTTACATTTTATGGAAAGTAGTGTGTTACATTACTTTTGAAATCTGGGCAGGGCTTGCTTGTTTGTTTTTAATATAAAAACTTCTTCTTTTACATACGTAAAACGTAAAAGCCCTTTCACAACAAAAGTGAAATGAATACGCCTCAGGCTGAAGGAAATGTAAATTCACGTCTGTACAGTAGAGGGCGCCGCTCAAACACATCTCATGAAGAATATGATGCAGGAGAAGAAAGTTCAACACTATTCAGCAATAACACAAATGAAACACAAATGTGTCATTTTTGATTATTAGTATGATTGAAGTGGATCATCGAAGGTCATTGGTTAATAAAAATGGGATTTAATACAAATTATATTTGTCTTATTTAACATATTTAATTATTGCAGGTTTGTATAATATTCTGAGTTTGCATTTCGCTGTTTTTATTGATTTTGAGGAACACTGAATCTGTTTTTGTGCAGGTGAGATGAGTAAACACATGTTGATATTTAGTCTAGAACTACAGTAAGATCATGTTCACACACAACGCTCTGAAAAAGTAATGCGTTACTTTACTAGTTACTTGAGAAAAGTAATCTGATTACGTATCTTGCGTTACTTGTAATGGGTTACCCCCAACACTGCAGGCGAGAGCACCTGAGCGGTGTACCTGTGTCGAAGGCCGTGGTTCGGTACAGCACCTGTGGGCTATATGGGCCTGACCTGGCGCTGTTATGAGCTGATATCCTCACAGCATACGCCCGGTCAGGATTCAGCCCATGAATGGTGTAGCTGGATGCATCCGCCGGCACCATCAGCGTGCGCGGTTCAACGCCACCACCTGCTTCCTCATACGTGAGTGTGCATCCGGTAAAACCGGCGTTCCGTTCAGAGCCGTTCGGAGGAAGCCAGGTGAGCTGCAGCGAGCAGCAGGTGGCGTTGACGTGCTCCGACAGCTGCGGAAAACCTTTCGGGGAAAACTCAGGCACCGAAAGCTGCTCCTGAACCTCTTCACTGTAACCGGAGCGCCCTCTAGCGGCCAGGAGGAATGAGTAAACACCTCCAGGACGCAGGCTGGTCACGTTGTGTTGACGCTCCTCAGGTCTGAAATCCAGAGAGACAGACTGAGAGTCGTTTATAAGGCCGTAGGTCAGACGAAAGCCCAGGATCTCCAGCAGAGGGTCGGAGGATTGTTGGGGAGTCCAGATCAGCGCAGCGGACGTCTCATTAACCAGCTGCACGGACAGAACGGGACGAGCAGGTACTAGAGGACACAAAGACACACAAACTTTCAGTGACTGGGCATATAAAATACATCCATCACACTGACCAGATACAGTGCCCTCTTCTGATTGGACAGGGCAGTTACAGTGGTAATTGTTTATATGGTGTTGCAAAAATGTAACTATATTATTGCACACCTCTCTCTCTCTCTCTCTCTCTCTCTATATATATATATATATATATATATACAGTACACTCACGCAAAGCAATATATACTATATTGTAAATCTCAACTGCTTGATTGTTTGTATCATCACAAAATGTGACTGTATTATCACACAGCTCTAATCTGATAAATGCGACTATAAGGCATGAAGATATTAAAGTGCCCCTATTATGGATTTTTGAAAATGACCTTTCATGCAGTGTGTAACACAGCTCTAAGTGAA